ACAGACCCCAGGTTCCTGCAGACTCTGTGCCCACTGCCGCGCCCCGCCCTCTTCTCTTCCTGAATACTCTTTCCAGCTGACACACCTTCCTCACAGACTCCAGCCATCCCTCATCCACCATCAGCTCCAAGTCCTGTCTCCGAACTTTAGCTCCCTAAATTCTACCAGTTCCCCACTGGACAGCTCGCCCGGTGTCCTACACGTCAGCTCTTCCAAACACACGTTATTACGAAGGATACAATATTGGCAAGGTGTCAGAGCTCACCCCACAAACCACTGGCTCACTGCAAAGGGAAAAGTATATCTTCACAAGGAGAGATGTGAGCAGGTGAGCAAACCTATTAACCCTAGTTGAGCAACAAATTGACATTATATACCTGCTGATGGGATAGTATACGGCCTTATAGGTAAGTGATTCTTACCAACAATGTTTAACCTGCATGTAATCAAGCCTGTGCCCAACTGCCTATTACATACACCACTGGCTATAGAGGAACAAGTTAACTGACACCACAGGGTAACCATCAGACAAATCCGACTGTGCGTCCATAGCAAGACACTGACCTGGAATCTTCTAAGAGGCATTAGATAGTGAAAGTCAATATAGTATAGAAAGTGAAGAATGTTCTGGAACTAAAGAGACAACCAATGGCAATGTTGGAAACGTGGCTTCTTTCCCCTTCAGTTTGCAAACAATTTTATCAAGATTTAATTTTTTATAATAAAAGTCATGCATTCTAATTGTATAACCTATTGAGTTTTACAAATAGATTCATAACATAACCACCACCGAGTTCAATATTGAGAACATTTCCATTGCCTCAAAAAGTCTTCTCAGCCTCTTTGCAAGCATTCTCTTCACAAACCTTGGCCTCAGCCAGTCCACGATCTGTTTCCTGTCCCTAAGTGTATGCATCTGAGACTGTCATATGAGTGCAACAATACAGAAGGAGTCTGCTGTAGCTTCTTCTGCTCAGTACAATGTTGACAGAGATACACCCATGCCTTTGCGTGTCAGTGCCTGGCTTCTTTTCACTGCGGGAGGCGCCATTGTACATACTGTCAAAGAACCAGCTTACAAATGTGAATTGTTTCCAGCTGGGACAATCGTGGCTGACGCCATGATGAACGTTCATGAACATGATTTGTGCAGACATATATTTGTGAAGACATAGTTTTTGGGAAAACACCTAGAAATGTTGGAACATTTGATGACACTGAGGGCCTCGATTTTTTTAAAAACTCATTCTCTTTATTTCATATTAATCTTTACAACTTTAAAGATATCAATTTCTCTGTAAACACTGCTTAAGATGTACCTCTTACATTCTGAGAGCATATATATTTATTTTCACTTGATTTGACTTCTTATCTACTATTTCAAGTGAAAGCTTGGTTTAATTTCCACATAGTTTGGATTTTTTTTTTTTACCCAATATCACTTTTTTATTAAGTTGTGACTGAACCCTGCTTTAAACAATTATAGAAGATATTTTGGGTTTAAATTCAAATAGGGGTTATAAATTAGATAACATTAGAAAATTAATGAAAGTTTTTTTTAAGTGGTAGTAAAATTGTGTTTATAAAGGAGAATGTTCTTATTCTTGGGAGATACAGGCTAAATTACTTAGGGGTAAATTTTTATGATGCCTGAAAGTTGCTCAAATATTTCAGCAAAAACAGACCATCCAGGTGGCTGTGTGAGTCTGTGTAGATGTATAAATCAATATGGCAAAGTATTAGTGACTTTAACGTAGATGATAAGTGTAGGAATATTCAATTTGCTTTCAGTCGACATTCATATTTAACAAGCATATTTAAAGTTTTTCATTAAAATCTTAGGGAAACAAGTCATAAATATAAATTTAAAACTTTCATTCACTCTCTCACCTACTCCTTTTCTATTCACTATTCACCAAATGGATCAATCTAGAAATGTTGGTGTCGTCTGTAACTGCCCTGGTTCCTGAGCTCCTGTTCCAGCCATCCTACCAGCTGGTCTTCACTTGTCCATCACAGGCTACTGCCCTGCTCTCAGCAGGCCTCCCTCCCAAATCATCTGGAACCCCATTGTCTGGGCTCAAACCCCTCTCCCATCAGTCCATTCTCTCATTCACTCCCTTGAAATCTTTCTACAGATCTCTACAGCCTGCAAAATACCCATCTTCCCTGAAATAAGAATATTGCCTTCCCTGAAATAAGAACAATACCTTAACTGGAGGTAAGGCCATGGCTGAGATCAGACTGCCGTCCAGGGATACCTGAGGCATTTGACTTCAAAGCCAGAGTACTGATCCCTGGACTACCTTGCCCCTGGCTTCATCTTCTTGCTGAGAAAGCAAAGAGGCCAGGCCTGGGAATAAGCACAGCACCCCCAGGGGGACCTTGACCTGTCTGCCTGGAGAAAGACTTCATTTATTGATCAGCAAAGTAGTTTTTAAGCCTATAAAAGAAACTCTTAACTATCACAACCAAGACTTCCGAAACTCACAGAAAATCTCATCTCATCAGTTCCCGAAGTGGTTTATGACAATGTTGGCAAAAATTCGGAGAAGCAGACAGGCTCACGTGATGTTAGCATGAGTGAATATTGGTATAGTCCCTGTGGGGGGTACTTTGGCAACATGAATACACCCTTCAGCCCAGGCAATGTCACTTCAGAACTGTGTCTCTCAACATACTTGCACATATGCAAAATGATGTACAGAGACAGTAATTTTTCCCTGTCATTCATTGAAGCATTTTTTAAATTGAAAAACTGTTGAAAAAAGCCACCAATGTCTACCAATAAGTGATTAGATAAATAAATGATGGCAGGTCATCATAAAGGAATCCTCTGCAGCTAACATGAAGAATGGGGAAGATCCCTCTGCATAAGTATCTCTAAGATATATTGTGACATGAAAAAAGCAGGGTGTATCTAGGTGTATCTAGTACTAAAGCCTTATGCTACAGTGTGAGAAAATAAGAGATCAAGTGTCCAAGAACTAAAATGTCCAAAAGGACACACTAAGATAATGCAATGACATTAATGAGAAAAAGCGGCCATCACTTCCCAAGTTCGGAAAACACAGGAAGGACACTGGAGTCATCAGAATCTGGAAATCTGGGACACCTCGATGGAGCGGGGCCTTGGGTGTCTGGGAAGAGCACTGCCTGGCTGGCGAATGGGAGCGCAGACAGGAAGCCTGGTTCTGGGGGGGCAGGTAGCAGTGTGGGGTGGGAACCATCTGTGAGACCAGCCTTCCCTCTTCCCGCCGCCAAGCCTTCCTCCAGCATCCTCTGTTGGCTGAATCTCACACAGAACCAGCTGACAAAGGGAAACGTAGTTTCCGGGTCCCACAGTAGAGTGTGGGCAGATGAGCTAGAAGCTGAGAGGCCAGGACACTAGGTTCAGTGAGGGTGGAGTTTGGGGTAGGGTGATACTGAGGCTGTTGGAACTGGGACATTTGATGACGGACTCCCCATCACTGTTCTAGAGCTGCCCCTTCCCTGCTCAGTGCTGGCTACAGAGTCATGCCAGTGGAGTACGTACTGTCTGTGGCAGAGCCTCAGTGGGTATTTTCACATACATTATTTTTATTTATCCTTCGTATGTCACTAGCGGTGAATAATATTATCAGCGCTCTACAAATGAGAAAGCTGAGAGAGAAAGAGGAATACGTCTAAGTAAAGGGTCTCCTTCCTGCTCCCCCGCCCTGGGTTCCTCCCGTCATGATGTCAGACTAAGGAGGTAAGGAGGGTTAGCTGAACCAAACACAACCGTGGTGTCAGCCTCTTGGCTGACAGCACCCGGGGGATCTGGCCTGGGGTGCAGGAGGTGGGGCCACATTGTATAGTCATGGGGGAAATGAGTCAGGGGCTGCTCCTCAGTGCCAAGCATCTGGCTTGGGGGAGCCAGGGCTGCCTGCTCAGTGTCTGTCTGTCTGCCCTCTCCTGGTTCCTCTCAACTCCATCCATCACCAGGTGTCAGTCCTGAAAGGCTGAGCAGCCAAAATCACTTTGCAGCCGGAAAGACAACAGCCTGCAAGTTCTCCTTGAGTCCATGGCCATGGCCAAGAGCAAATAAGAAGACAGCCGTGCGGTGTGACTGCAGAGCCACGGCTAGCGGGAGTGCTTTCCCGTGTCCTCCCCAAATGACGAAACGTGTCTATCAGTTCAGATCTGAGGATCCCCCCGACCACCCCACACACTTCTACCTGCCACTAGGTAATTGAAGGAGGGCTAATTTAACTGTCTGTCCTTTAAATATGTGTGTGGTGTGTGTGTGGTGTGTACACACAGATATATATGATTGATATGTAATATTCGTTTCAGGTATAAAACATAAAGATTTGATATTTATTGATTTCTGAAATCATCACAGTAAGCCTAATTAATGTCCATCACCACACCTCATTATAAAAAATTTTTTCTTATGATGAGAACTTTCAAGAGCTCCTTTCTTAGCAACTTTCAAATACACAATAAGGTAATATTAAATATAATGTTCCCATGTCGAACATTGCTTCCCTGGGACTTATTTTACAGCTGGGAGTTTGTACTTTTTAACAAGTATTTGTCCTCACACCTTGAGACCATACACCACAGAGAAAATTCTTAAAAATAAAAAATAAACTTATTTACACAATAGCAACGATGCCCAATGAATAGGCAAGCAGCTCTTAACTGTTTTACAGAGTAGAAAGAAATCTTCACGAAACCGATAAAACAATATTAAATTAACCATGACATAAACTCTGCCTTTCTAGTAGTTCTAGAAACAGGAACAACAGGGCATCCCTTTTAAGAAAGCTCCGCATAAAGAAAACGCAGACTTACAGAATCACCACGCCAACAGCGATGGCCTCTGTGGAATGACCATCAAGGGCTCTTCACTCGCTTCACCAATAGTCACACGGCGGTTCCTGGAAACCAGCCTGTCACCGCTCAGTCTGATGTCCACAGTCAGCATGGGCCTGCGCATCTATCCCTTGGCCACGGACAGTGAACTTGAGTGACTCCACTACTGACCCTGCAGGACCAAGGCAGAGTCAGGGGTTCACTTTCACTTGCATTGTTACTTTGGTCGAGAACTAACACCATCTGGACTTACAGAAGACTGGGACCATCTTGTCTTTAGTGCATTGCACCCGCATGCTTTCCTTTTCTACTGATATTTTGATATGAAAATGTCTGCATCCAAATGTTGCCACAGACTTTCCTGACGTTTATCCAATCCCACAGGCCTCTATACTGGGCAAAAACCTAACAAAATTTGTCTTGGTAGATTTCTAAGGCTTCCAGTTTCCAACCAGGCTCAAAATAGCATTGGGAAAAATCCTTTTTTTGTGTGTGTGATATGATGGTTTTGTTTCCAGTCCTAAGTCACCTGTTAATAGGGTTAAGGTCTGAAAAAGCCACAGTAAAAATGTTAACTAAACAGATTAGACTTTCAGAAATTGGAGCAGAGTTTGAATTGCATTAAAGATTTCCGTTGTCCTTTATTTTACTTGAAATGATTCCCCTTCCCCTGACTAACAGTGGCTTTGCTCAATGAATGTAGGTGCTTGATGCTGTGTTTGTGGAAGGGGGCGGAGCATGAGGCCCAGTAGAAAGTCCAGCTTCTCCTACTCTGTAAGATGGCCGAGTATACACAGGTTTCCCTCAACTAGCTGAAAGCAGGATATATCTGTTTGGTATGATTTGGTGGGTTATTTTGGGGGCCCGGGAAAGTTCAACAATATTTCCATATAAATTAATGGTGACAGCATTCCAAGACCCAAAAGAGGAACCTGCTAAATCATCCTAAAGATGAACATTCTACTTATAGTGGGGAAAACTGTAGTGACTGCCGTCTACTTGTGACAGAAAGAAATGCCCATTTTGAATGGCTTTAAAGTCATCTTTCTACAGTAACAATTTTCCCACTTGTTTTTCTTTCCCTCTTTCTCTGTATATATATATGTATGTGTGTGTGTGTGTGCGCGTGCGCATGTAGGGGTGCGTGTGTGTGTGTGTGCATGTGTATAAAATAAAATGTAAATTTCCTGAGAGGTACTGCAGGAGGAGTCCTATTGTTAATCTGTGAGGGGAAATCTGATCATGTAGAAGTCAGGTGATTTTGCTCCTAACAGCTGGATGGGCCCTGTCCAAGTCTGACAAGGCCTTTAGACCACCCCAAAGTAACTATAAGGCCGGCTCATCCTGAATATGAATGTAAAGTAAATGTTAGCTTTCCCATGGATTGAGCTAAGCACAGTAAGCAGAAAGTGAGTCCAGAGAAAGCAAAGGCAGTTGAAGAACTGTGCTCTGATGCATTATCAGACAAAGACATCAGACTCAGCTCCCACATGAACAGCAATGCATTCTGCTCCCCTCAGGCTGAGTCTGCCAGCACTGAATGTTAGAGGGCCCAGCGGTTCTCTTACCTAGCTCCCAATGGCAGAGAAGACACATTTCTCTGCAAATAGTCAGGGTTCCACAGTTAGGGGAGGACTCACCCTGGTCTATTTTTTTTTTTTAAGATTTATTTATGCATACAAGAACTGGGTACAGGCCAGAGGTAAGAGGACTCACCAGAGACAGAGTGGGGAACAGAACAGGCAGAACAACTGAAATACACTGCTGAAGGGAACCGCAGGGGAGACAGGAGAGGTCTGCTGCGCCATGGCCGGGGATTGAACTCGTGCCGCAGTGGCTGCGGATAGTTTCATAGTGCTGTGTCTTAACCCCTTGCATCAGGGTGGTGCCCCTGATCTATCTATTATCTCATATACATAACCTGCCTCAGCCACCTGATTTTTCTACTTCGCTTGAATATGTTCTTCACTCCTTCTGTGTAGAGACCAATCCCCTCCTTGTTCCTGCCTCAAATAGATAGGACTCATTGAAAATACTGGCCCAGTAAGAGCCCAAATAGTAACAGTATTGATTCAAGTCAATATTTGATTGACTGATTGACTGATTGATATAGATATACTGGTATCAACAGATTGTGGAGACAAACTAGAAGAGTGAAGGACGCCTGAACCACAGTGAGAAGACCAGCGAGTGCTCCTTTTTAGAAAGCATGGACGTCGTAACAACTAGAACTAGTTTGTGAAGGTGCCAAACCCCTCAAGAAAGGTGAATAGAGCTTCTGGGACTGCAAAGCCTTCAGGAGTACAATGAGTGAAAACCAACCTGGGTGGAAGTGTGGGTGCTAGGAAGCACGTGCTTTGTTAAGTGGGGGTGTGGCTACTATACCTCAGGCTGCTGATGACCACAGGAAACGTCACCTATGTAGTCAAGGAGAAGCCAGAGTTCTGAGAATCTATGAGGATGCTCCCAATTTTTAAAATATTTTAAACTAAATGTGGAAAACATCTAAATACCAAGCAAACCAATCAAACACAGTTTGCAACGTCAGCTCTCTGGGATGGACATGCGGCGGGTGAGAGGAGAGATGCAAGATGTCACACGGGGCTGTAAGCACAGAGCAGGAGGTGATTCTCTAAAATTCTTAGGGGTCTTTCCAACTTTGACTCTCGTCTAGGCCTGACCGTCCCAACACAGGGTCAAGCATGTGGAGGGTCACTGATACTGGCCCCCCAGCTTAGAAAGAGTCTCACCCCTGCCCCCTGAGCACACACGTGCCCCACTATGGCTTCATTTAATCCAGTCATTTCTCCTGGGTCTCCAGAGATCCATGATAGGAAGACATGACAACAAATTTAAAATTAAGCCAAATGCTTTTAATATTCATCAGATGCCAGATGTATGTCTTGGTCTTCCATAGCAGAAACTAGAAAATGATAACTATAGGCTTTCAGTAACAGGAATCGTGCACAGGAATGATTTTCCTCTGCAATGCGGGGCTGACACAGGACATCCCAGGGGATGGAATCTTGGCTTGGTCCTAGGGCGGGCCTCATGGAATGCTCAAGCAGGTGCCACTTACGAAGCAGCAAATCCTGAACTTTTTATAGACACCCAGAAGCAAAGTAAACCCAAGAACGACAACGGAAGTAGTTAGTTTTCTAAGATGAGGTGTTTACGGAATAGAAGAACCAAGACAGAAGACCACAAGACAGAGTGAGAGCTGGGTCCTCTTCTCTGTGAATAATGACTAGAAAATGCCATCTCCATGTAGCACATGCCAGTCCTGTCATTCAAAATCCCCTTGGCTCAGGCCTGGCAGAGAAGGGGCTTCTCCCCTCGCCCACTGTGGTCCTGTGTGCTGCTTCTGGTGCGGGCAGCGAGGCAGACTGTGGTTCAGGTAACTGTCACAAGCAGCTGCCTGGAGACTGTCAAACTATTTGCCTGGGACATTTGTTCTGGCTGTTCTGAGGATTCTCCACCCCAGCCATGCAGAAATACTTTTTGTTTAGGCAGCATAGTTCATGTACTGAGAGATGCCACATTTCTTCATTTCCCTGGAGGTGTGTCTTTCTTTCAATATTTATTTTTCAAGTGACTTGAAATTCTTGGGTGTAAAATGGCATATGATCCTTTCATTCTTTTGTTGAATAAATACACTGGAACCTGAGAATAGAGTCGAGCTGACTAAGCTGGTGCAATGCCTGCCCTCATGGGATTTATATTCAAGTGGATGACCATTCCTATCCTTTTCTTTGTCTCAGGAGATGACATGGAAAGCTTGTTTGGAACTGAGATCTTCAGTGAAATATTTCTCGTCAGTGATTCTGTTCTAAGACCAAACAAAACCACGTCTTCCCATTCCACAGTGGTAGCATCTAGATCTCCACAGGGTCCCAAAAGGAAGTCGGATTCAAAGAGACGAGCTCGTGGGCATGCCAAGTGACCAGCTGTCACACGAGTTTCCACATGGAAAGTGAGGAACTAGTCTAGTGAGAATCTGGCAAAGTCAGGTAAATTATCTTCTGAACGGATTCGAGTATTTGTAGCAAGCACAAATTCTCATGACTTCGTCATGGTGATCAGCTTCGTGGAATACTGCCAAGTGACATATCTTTCCTACTCCCAGCCCCTTTCTAAGCACTCCTGGGAATATCTGAAATTTGAGATAAGCCCTCTTAACCCAAAGTTTTATTAGAACATTTAATTACCACAAATGCCAAACGACACGTTGATCACTATTAAGTAGGTAGGCTCCACGGAAATCTGAGAAGCACTGAGAGGCTATGAAATCCTCAGCAACCAAGGAGCTTTGCTTCTCTCCCTGAGCAGGCTGGAGAGCCTCGGGATGTACTTGGCCATTTTAACCTCCCAGGTACTCAAGACACGAGTGCAGTGGTGGGGCCTGACAGTGGGGTGAGTCCCCCTCCTGTGGTGCCAGTCCCACCCAGCTGCAGCCTCCAGGAGTTTGACCTCCATCAAGCTGTCTTCCGGAGTCAGAGCCACAAAGGACTCCTCACTTGTCTAAACTTCGACCCACTCTCCGGCCTGCAGAGTATGGAGAACTAGCTTTTGTTCTTTTTAACACAATCCTCACAAGAGCCTTTTAGCTCTTGAAGGACGAGAGTCATGTTCTTATACACCCTTGCATTCTCGGCCCTAACATAGTCCAGGCACACAGTAGGGACTCAGCTACTTACAGAATAAAGAAATGGAGTCACCTTGTTTCCCGCATTCTCCTTTTTTTTGTTCTAAAAAACTCTCTCTGGAGACAATCTCCCTCTCCTATTGTGTCCTCTGAGGGCTTCCTTGTTCCTCCGGTTCTCCACCTTTTTTAAGATGGTTCCAAACTTGTTAAATAAAAATATTCTAGCTCCCCAACCTATGAGAAGCAGAGCAACTGGAGATTTAGAGTACAGTAACAGTAACAGCAATTACAGGTTGCTGAGTAATTCCAGTTTCCTCCATGATTAGAAGGAAACATTAACACATTTACAAACACTGGGAGAGGAGACTAGGGAAAGTGAATGTGTTCTGGAAAGGGGCACTGAAGGAAGCAGAGAGGACAGAAGTGAGTGCTCACAGTGAGTGCATTTGTTAACTATTGGCACAAAGTGGAAACCAGAGCAACTACAACAACAAATACTGCTCTTGGCCCGTAATTCTTGGGATCTG